AAAAAAAAAAAAAAAAAAAAATAGGCAGACACTTTAGCAGAAACTTTTAGGCTAAAATTTAAGTATAAATGAACAAATGATATCAACTAAAAATAAAATAAATTAAAAATATTATGTATTTGGGCTCAAGCTATTCAATCATTTAGGACAAAAACCATTATAAAAGGCCTAAAATATTACAAACATTCCATTAAATAATTTTGAATAATAAATATATATAGTTTTATTCAGTCTTTACAATAAAAATCATATATATTGTCATTCTTTCTATCACTTATGGTTGAGACGCCCTCACCCTTTCAGTTGTCATTTTTTTTTCTTTCACTACATCATTCCGAAATATTAGTCTATTTCTTACCTGTAAATGAAACCAAGTTCATATGTCATGTTCAAACACTAAATCATCTATTTTTTTATATATATATACAAACCATGACAATAAATGTCCATCTAAAAGTAGAAAAATAAAACTATAAATGTCTATATTTGTCAAAATAGAATTTTATAATATACTTTCAAATTTTTATTCTGTACTTTTTTAAATCATATTAAGGTAACAATCAAGATGTCCGCCGACAACATTTAGATCAATAACCAACACTTATTTTGCACTAAATTTATGAGAATCATAATTTACGTTATTTTGTTAGAAATACACATTGATAGAATTCTGATAAAATAATAAGAATAAAATATTAAATTATAACTAACACACGTGATATATGAAAAAAAAATAGTTGTTGTATTTGTGGTATTTCGTGCAAAACTTTATTTGTCGGAATGTGTTGGTAAAGACAATACCTCCTCATCATTCTTATGAAAACATTATAGACATACAAATAAAAAACTAACAATAAATTAACACGTTATGCTTTTTTTTTCTTTTTTTTTAAAAAAAAATCATAATTGTATAATTATGAACTAATTAAAAAATTTAAATGATGGCAAAAGAATTATACACATACATGTAGATGGTCTCTTCTATGTTTGACAAAATAAAATAAAGTATACCAACTAAAAATAGAAAAAAAAAATGTATATTTGGGTCAAACAACACCTTCAATCAGACCAAATCAATATGAATTTTCTCTTTACTTTCATAATTAAAGACATGAGTTGGCCTCTCTGAATCTTGTAACTCTCTCAATTTCTATGCTATCATTTCTATTTTTTTTAATATTTGTTATAAAAAATATATATTTTTTTTCATAAATACAATCAATTTTTTATGCTATGTTTGATTCTAAGTTGTCCTTTCTTTTATTCTGTTCTATTTATATTTTAATATTCATGGTTATTATTTTAAAAATAAACCTAATTTTAGATAAACAATTTGTCGAAGTGAAGAAGTTATTTACTATTTTCGTGATACACTTCCTATGAATATGCATGTTAGTACCCAACACCCATTGATGATACTTTTTTATTTTAATTTCTTAAAAAAAAATTCTTCCTTTTAGTCAAATAAATTACATTATTTATAAGAAACAAAACTTTATATTGAATATATCTTTGTTCTTATTTATTTAAATTTATTAAAAAGTAAAATAAAAGAATATATATGAAATTTAGTTGAGTAAGTTTGCGATTTTTTATAAACAGAATTAATAAATTCTTGTATCAAAATTTACATAATTGAGAAATATCACCAATAACAAGCATTGTTATTTTTATCAAGTGGTAAACCGTTGGTACTCTTTTTATATTAAAATAGTTAATCACCTTAAAGTATAGCTTATCAATATTATTTGCACTCTGTATGTATGATTATGAAAATATGATGGTATATATATTTAAACTATTATACATAAACTAATCTATAATGATAATTGTGTTAATTTTGTAGTTAATTTTTTGTGCAAAATAATTATTTTTTGTTGTTTAAATTATCCACAAAGAATTTAGCAATTCTTTTCAAAGCCATTTATATTGGCAGTGGAATGTTGTATTCCATGAAAACATAAATAAATAATATGATCATTTGATTGAGAAATGAACAACTTGATGCCTTATGTAGATTGAACGTTTTTAATCACTTTGCTAATTAATTTGTATAATTAATTTTTGATGATAAATTTTAAGGGAGGATTGTCATTATTATGTTCAATGCATTGAACCAAGAATTCCTTCACAATAATGAACTTTATTTATTATAAGTAAATGCAAGCAAGTAAATAGTCATTTTGAAATTAGATAAATAGTGTAATTAAAGACAACTTAATTATGATAATTAATACATATCTTAGACAACAATTAATACATATCTTTGGAGGGAAAAAAGCTTCTAAACCAGCTGCTCTGGTTTAATATATATATAGATAATTTAAAACACATGTGCAATTAATGAAATTACCAATATTTTCAAAAACCAAAAATTTTCGTGATTTAATGTTAGTTTAAATTTTAAACTACAAACTGATGGCAAACAAAAATTATTAAAATATATTCATCCCAAAATATTTTTTTATTTTTTTTGGTACAGGGACCTTCCGGTTTCCGGATCCACATGGGAACCGACTAATTCGGAATCGAGCCGGGTAGGACCACAAAGGCGGCAAAGCTCTCCCTCAAGAGTTTTAAAACTGCTGCATTCCCAGGGCTCGAACTCGAGACCACTGGTTAAGCTGGAAGAGACCCAAGCCATCTCATTATTGAAAAATATAAAAATGTTAAAGTTTAAAACCCATTTATTTTATCAATATATTATCCATTATTTATTTTTTTTTTTGGTGCGATATATTATCCATTATTAATATGTATCTTCACTACCTAATCCTTTATTAATATTTATTCTTTTTTTTTCTTCATGAATACACGTAATCGGATATTTCAGTTGCGAAAAATAAAAGTCGCTTTAAATTCGTCAATTATTACAACCACAATCATATTTTTCAGTCACAGAAGTTACATACATTAATTTTTCCAAAAACAAAACAAATATGATATATATATGTAAAAATTAGGCGAATTTATTTAAATATGCATGCATTGATATTCTTCTCCATAATTATATTTTTCTTTCAAAGAGGTTGTTTATTAGGTGTCTCTTCACTAGCACCAGTACCAGCACCAGCACCAGCA